ATGTGGTGTTTTACATGATGGCCTGCGGGCAATAGCTCAAACTCCCCGTGGAGTGGATGATTCAGACAGTCCAGTATGTCATTAGCCTTCCTAAGGACATGCCTGTTATAAATGACCCAAAGCACAGGCTGTCTCCTCTCTGAGATATTACTGGCTTTTCTTACAAGACTGCCCAATCTGTTTTACCAAATAGTAATTAAAAAAGTAATAAAAACATCTGTAAAACGGAGACCTTGTCTCAGTAAAAACACTGACTTGCGCAGATCTTTACTATAAAAACGAGTCAACGAGTCTTTTACCGTCTTGGCTGTTCGTTAGCTCTTCAGTGGCCGGTGGAGTAGCTGCCGTTTAGATATATATATTTCAGATTTTCTTTACATATTTCTGTACTAGATTATCGAACTACCATCTCTCTCCCTTTTTATAATTTCTCCGGGGAAATACTGTCGTAATTTTCAAAAATAGCTTATAGTCGACATATAAATGATAGTAGGCAAAGAAAACACTTCAAATAAATTAATAGAAGTCTATAATTACACTCCCTTGTCAGTCATTTTGCTTTATTTTTGTATATACTGAAGGTAACAGGCTAACCTCAGCTTTAATCATCGTGTGTTATCGCAGGATTTTTTGTTTTAATGATGGCGGGTTGTCTTCAGCCCGGCCGGTCTGGGTTTGATGTACGATCATGTGATGAAGTTTACATGTGGAAGCACGTCTGATAGATGAAAGCTTGATGAGAAGTGACAGTGGATGGTAAATGATCTCATTTTTTTAAGAGCATACCTCCTCATCTGTCTCTCCATCTTCGCCCGCAGTTATTCCAAAGGGAATTCTTCTCATTTTCCCCCCGTTCCTTCCTGCTATGTTCCTCCTACTCTACATGCACCTTTCCATTAATTTTCCAATCTCTCTTCCCATTCCCTTCCTTTATCATTTTTCTTTTCCTTCCTCTGTCCTATTTCTTTCACCCCCAATATTATTAAAGCAGAATGTGGTGGAGGAAGCGCTTTTACTTAAGAACTAAAATGATTTCCCTATGCTGGGTTATAATGTGGCCAGGGGTGTGTCCATGCTGTGGGCATGAGGTGGCACCAACCCACTGAAATTTGATTGCAACCTCAGGCCACTAAGTACAAATATTTTGTTTTATACAGCATACCATTTATTTTAAAGCTCATGGTATTTTTGGCTGTATCACTGTGTTAAATCAAACTCCGCTATCAGTGTAGAATTAAAGTAAAACAATCTCTAACTGCATCATTAAAGCAAAATCCATGTTAATTAATCAATTATGGTCTGATAAATTAATGTATATATGATTCTGCAGCACGAGTTCTTTGACTGTTTTGATTGCCAATATTTTTGTGTTGTTATTACAATAAGTCACTTTAAAAAAGTAAAACGTCTGAATATTTCTGTCAGTACTTGATAAACAATTATTTCGTAGTTATTCAAGTTATACAATGAAACCCAGTATTTTCATTCCATTCATTCCAAAATAAACACATGCACGTAAAACTATATTACAGATATTCTATATAATACATCTGTGTGCACTGTATTGTGCTCTCCTGTTTGGTGATGTAGGGAACTCATGTGGAAAATACAATGCCTATGGACCATGCCCGTCTTCTAGACAACATCCTGAATGGAAAACAAGAAGAACAACAGAGAGATAAGAGGCTACATTCGGCAACAGTCACTACTCGCTACCTAGATCACTTAAATTGCACAATTGAAAGCATATGTGTATTGTTTGTGTATTTATACACAAGCACTCATATATATATTCCAATAATTAAAAAAAGAATAATTTACCTGTTACTACCACACACAAATCCGGTCGTTGGTACTTGCTGGCTTGTGTAGCCACGAGGTGACAAAAGCTCAACACTGCGCCCAGCATCCTGGAGCACTTCTGTTGTGTTTTGTAAGTGCTTCGGAGTTTGTATGCGCTTCGGCGTTTGTACGCGCCAAAGTGTGAATGTTCACTTTATCAAAGTGTGTAGGGCCTCTGGAAAAGCCTTTGATACAGAAGCTACAAACTCAGTTTGTAACAGTCAGATTAAATGAAATCTGACTGTTTCATTTAAGGCCCAAACTGCCAGCTTTGTCTCACTTAAAAACCAAATAGCCTCGTTTTAAATTTCCCATTCAAATCTGTGGTGATAAAGATCACTTGTACAGGTATAAAAACTGTGAATCATAAGGTTTCCCGTCCACTTTAAGTTCACTAAATGTAATCACACAGAACCCAGTGGACACCAGTGGAACTGCAGT